TTTAGGCTTTTTCCTGAAAAATCACCTTAGTCTGCCCCCCCCCACAGCCACTCTGTTTCCTGTCACAATGCCACTTTCCCTGTGCATATAGAGAATCCTTGCCCCTCTTGTACTGTGTCACTTTATGAAGTTACTATTTGCCACACTTGTCATAGAAAGTGTGACAGGTTTTAGGAATGTTCACCAGGAGGCTGGGGCTGAGGCATAAGGATCACCTGAGTCCAGCAGTTCAAGACTATTCTAGTCAATATTAGCAATATCTAGTCCAAAAAGAAATAAAATTTAAACATTTAAATGAAATAATGATAAATAAATGTATGATATGTAACAGTCCAGTAACAGTCATTTATTAGCATTAGTCAGTATTACATATATTCAGTATTACAATACTGAACATAATTGTATGTGCTATATTTTTAGACAATTGGCAGCACAGTAGGTTTGTTTATTCTATAATCACTACACATGAGAAATGTATTCCACTGGCATTTTGATGGCTGTGGTGGCACCTAGGCAGTGGGAATTTTCAGCTCTGTTATCATCTTATGAGACCACTCTTACATATATAGTTGATCATTGACCAAATGGCACTCATGACTGTGCATAGATGTTTATGTATATAAAGGTAGGTAGAATTTAAAGAATTGACTCATGCAGTTGAGGGTCTGGCATGTCTGAATTTTGTAGATCAGGTAGCAGGCCAGAAACTCAAGGAGGAGTTGATGATGTGGCCTTGAGTCCAAAACCTATAGAACAGACAGACTAGAAATTCAGGCAGGATTTACAATACAGTTTTGAGACAGAATTCCTTCTCTAGGTCTGGCATTTGAGTTTGTTTATTGTAGGCTACCTTTTGGTCCATGTTTTTTCCATCCAACCATCCAAACTGTTAGAGCTTTTCTGCCCCCTTAAACTACAACATTGAATCCAGAATCTCTTGCTTAGTGAAATCATAACAATAAATTCAGCCTGATCCAATTCTGTGTTCCTTCTGCCATTATCCCACACTGTAAATATCCATCCTCATACATAGTCCCAGATTTTTGTCTGTATATATTGAAAAACTCATGCAGTTCTTTTTAGAGTATTATATATCTCCTCATAGATCACACTTTTCTTTTTTTTTTTTTTTTTTTTGGTAGTTGTAGATGGACAGAATTCCTTTATTTTATTTGTTTATTTTTATATGGTGCTAAGGATTGAACTCAGTGCCTCACACACGATAGCCCCAGCTCCAGTGGATCACGCTTTGTACCTAACCTTTCAGAGAGTGTTGGGACTCAAGTCTGGTTTAGGTATAGAAGCAACCAAGGCAATTACTCAGTGGAGGTACCTGTGGGTTCTCAGACAGAGGTAGAAGGAAGACTCAGCAGAATTTGGGAGTTCATTGTCCCCACGTTCATGAGTATTGATATATTCATTTGTCAAAATCATCATCTCAGATTGTACATTTCAGGGTATGTAAATTTTAACCAGGAGCTACTCTGTATTCCAGTAATCCCAGCTACTTCAGAATCTAAGGTAGGAGAATCACTTGAGACCAGGAGTTCAAGGCCACCCTTAGCAACATAGCAAATAAGATTCTGTCTCCAAAAAGATCGTGCACCATGATCAAGTAGGATTCATCCCTGGGATGCAAGGCTGGTTCAATATACGGAAATGAATAAACGTTATTCACCACATCAATAGACTTAAA